CCCAGGTGTCTACCACACCCAGCTAGCTACCATACCCAGCTATCTACCACACCCCGGTATCTATCACACCCAGCTATCTACCACACCCCGGTATCTACCACACCCCGGTATCTACCACACCCAGCTAGCTACCACTCCCCGCTACCTACCACACCCCGGTATCTACCACACCCCGGTATCTACCACACCCAGCTAGCTACCACACCCCGCTATCTACCACACCACGGTATCTACCACATCCCGGCGTCTACCAGACCTCGGTGTCTACCACTTCCCAGTACCTACCACACCCCGGCCCCTACCACAATCCAATCTCCCCCATACCCCAATCTTTCCCATACCCTAGTCTCTCCCATACCCCAGTCTCTCCCATGCCCCGGTCCCTACCACAGCCCGATCTTTCCATAACCCGATCCCTACCACACCCCGATCTTTCCATAACCCGATCCCTACCACAGCCCGATCTTTCCATAACCCGGTCCCTACCACATCCCGATCTTTCCATAACCCGGTCCCTACCACACCCCGATCTTTCCATAACCCGGTCCCTACCACACCCCGATCCCTACCACACCCCGATCCCTACCACACCGCGTAAGACGATCACCCAGACTTCCATTTCAACAGAGGGCCCCTGTAAACAGTGCTCTGGTGAAAATCTTGGTAGTTGTAGGTACTTAGTACTACTATGAAGGCTAATAAGGCACATCCAACATTCGGAATTTAAATGTCCAGCATTACCTAACAAGAGGTATTAACCTAACAAGTACCCTGACCAACTAGGGAAGTAGTGAAAAGTAGCACATTCTCCAAAGTTTTTTTCAGGTTACAAAAGTTTTTTTAGAATTCGCATGCTAAATGAGCCATCTAGGATGTTGCAGTTATTACAGCTACATAGCTCCCCACCGTAAGCTGGTTTAAAATGGAACCCCCGTTTAGATGGAATCCTGGGTCACACGGAACTTCGATGTATAGGAACTCTCATGATAACTTGCTGACTGCTGCGCTTACATAGCTTGAAGAAAGAGTACACGTCGCCACACTATACGTACGGTATAATAAACAAATAATAAATATTATTACCGCTGTTTATTATACCGTACGTATATATATATATTATATATAATTATATAACCAGAAGCCTGCACTTTGGGCCGGCATGCTGCTTTTTCACACCTGAACAACATACATTTATATGGTACGCAGGTGCATTATCGTGATCTATTTAAAATGCGTAGGCCTATATATTTTTTCGAGTTAAAATATTTCGCATGCACTCGCAGAGGATGACTGACAGAGTGAGTGACTGTCATGTAATAGGTCTTTTACATTTTTTCCTCATTTGTTATCCTTCCTATTATGCTCCCATATATATAGATAGCGTCCTGCTCTGTGTGAGTTTCGCTTGCCACCTCTCACATATCTTTTCCCTATAGTTGTTTTCGTAAATGTTGTTTGCTAGTCGTCATCTTCGTGGTCAGTTCTTTCCTGTCTTTTTTCGTGTATTCTTTCTCTCGCTGCGTCTGTGTATTTCTCCTAGTCTCTCTTTTTCTTTATCCTCAACAGACAATCCCACCACTCACATTTTTCTCTATTTTATCCGATATCTCACAATCACTAGCTGTCTCATTTACCCCACCTACTGCCTTCTATTTCCTTTTTATTTCTCTCTTGCCTTCCCACCACTCTTGCTGTTGCTTGTTTGCGCTCTCTCTCTCTTTTTTACTCTCGCTTGCTCTCTCTCTCTCTCTCTCTCTCTCTCTCTCTCTCTCTCTCCCTCTCCTTCATTTGTCCTCACCCCCTCTCTTTTCTCACACCGCCTCTTCCTCTGTCCCGCGTCCCTTTTCTGTTTTTTTCATCTGCCCACGTCCCCTATCTCTTTCTCTTTTTCTCTCCTAAGCAAACCATCTCTCACCTTTCACGTTTCTCTCACGCGCTCTTTCTCCGCCTCTCTCTCTCTTCCTCTCACTTCACCTCTCCCGCTAGCCCCTCCTCTCACACACACCATTATACGTAGTCGTGTCTTCCCCACCATATCGCCACGCCCGCGGTCCTCAGCATCCCCTACAGCAAGCAACAGCAGCAGCAGCGGCGGCAGCAGTAGCAGCAGCAGCAGTATTAGCATTAGCAGCAGCAGCAGCAGTAGCATCATCAGCAGCAACAACAGCAGCAGCAGCG